TCACCAAGGTGAAAGCCAAAGTTCTTTTGAGTGAGAGAGCGAGCCAGCGAGCTTGAGAGCCTGGTGTCCATTTTAAGCAGGCTGACCTTTGGTCCGCCCCACGATGCGATCTTCCAATCGGACGCTGTTGCAGGGCTTAGCCACGCCCTGTGTGGTTCCTTTTTCATGCAAAAGTCACATGCTGTTTGTGGGGAGTATTTCTGCAAGTTTGAAGAACTTCTTATAAAAATATCATCACCGGAAAATGATGCCGAATATCAATTTTTCACTCACACCAATGTTCTGTGAATAAAACAAGCTTTCACCCGATACTAAGCTTCACATATCTTACACACATATTACATGCTTTGTCTGCTAAAAAGAGTTATAAGGCAAATATTAAAATATCATAGATTCCAATAAACACATCAGATATATGTATACGGCATAACACATACAGTGGATACATTTTCACTACTTATGAGTTTTAAACGATTGTCTTTTAAAATCGTCATGCAAGGTTCTGTTTCTTTTGTTGTAAGATAAGTTTGTAAGGGTTTCAGAAAGGGCAGGAAGCAGATGGTCAAACGTCATGTGATAGTCACGCATAGATCCCGTGTTTGCAGGCCTGAGGGCGTCAGTTAATTTACTTCCTGTGCCTACACTGGTTCCATACATTAGTGATCACGAGGTATCTATATGTCGTGAAATAACTTTTCAGTCCTGATACAAAAGATATCTGTGTTATCTCCTGATTGGATTAGTTTCAACCTCATGATGGCTGATAGGGGGGAGATCTTTAGGTCCTTCTGTAATATTTCTGTTTCATGATTCACGTGGTAAATCCACAGCTTATGGGGGTCTGTTTCATAAGACAGAGACCTTACACAGTTATAATTTCTTTTGTAGTTTTGTTATTAGATGAGACAGCCGTACGGCTTGAGAAGGCCTTAGACTTTCTATCATGTGATAAAACTGAAATAGAGAAAACTACAGGCACACTGGGTTCCCGCTTGGTCTGTAAACATTTATGAACATTGCTGCTATTATTGTGGGGACCCGACACATATCACTGAGAGCTGCTATCAGTTGTTTTTGGTTCACCTACAGCAGATGGAGGGTTTGGGCCCTGGCATTGTGGCAGCAGCCGGAGAGCTCTCACAGGAGGAGGAGGACGAGCTGGGCCCACAGTCTTTGGTGGTTGTGAGACCAGAGAAGCTCACTGCTTTGCAAAGGCAATTGGATCGATTCGGAGACCAGAATGGACAAAGAGAGTAGTCGTGTAAACTGGAATGCGGCTACTTGCCCCAAGACTAAACAAAATCCTTATCTTATCTGCTTTTGGCTCCCCTCAACCAGCACTGGCCTCTGCCAAGGCCGCTGTTGGGACAACTACTCCCCCGAGAGAGCAAACAATAAAGGGCTCATTCATTCATTCATTCACATTAACTTTTTCTGTTCTCATCCTCAGGTCAATGAATCCATTCTTTGCTTAATGGAAAATGGAACGTATTTTTACTTGATGTTTGAAAATATTGGGTACATAAGGTATGCTTTATTCGGTTTGGGATCTATTCTATATTGTGCTGTTGTATTCTTTAATGCCCTTATTATTTTTGCAATTTTTTTGGAAAGGGCATTGCACCAGCCCATGTACATTCTGATTTCATGTTTATCCGTCAACTTTGTGTTTGGAACAGCTGCTTTTTTCCCGAGGTTACTGACAGACTTGTTATCTGATACACACTCGGTCTCCCGTGAAGCATGTATCTTACAGGCTTTTGTCATTTATTCATATGCATCAAATGAAAACACAATATTAATGTTAATGGCATTTGACAGGTATGTAGCAATCAGTAAACCATTATAATACAACGACATAATGACCCCCAGGATTTTATCTGTTTTAATAGCTATAA